AAGGAAAACAGTTTAAAAACAGGTATAATTGCTGATTTCCCAGTGGGACAACAACCTGCACCACCTCAAACACATCACTAAGACATCAGCACTGAGAATGCCCCCCCCCACCAACAAAGAATACTATGACGTGGCTGTTCATACAGCCAGAAACAGGTAAAAAAATATTGCAATGTAGATTGGTTTAAAATAAACAACCTTATGATGGGTGTTCAAAAAGAGACACTTCCTCAAAGAAAAGTGTGAGTTTCCCTCATGCTTAGAATAATGTGTAGTTGGGGTATTCTAAATCAGTTTGCATTGTGCTAAACCTGCAGTAATTGAGGAGTATATTGCAGTGTAATCACCCGCTGAGGCTCACCATTATCTGCTCTTTCTCGTTAAACAGTGGAATGGCATGACAAAACTGGAACAGCAAGGCCAGTTAATATGTCAGAAGCAGAGCTTCTTGGAGAGGAAAGCACTGTGTTTTCTACAGGAGTTTGCCTCAGTCTGCATTTGACAAATTAGCCTGTTTTTGTTTTATAATTGACTTGTTAGGAGATAGCATGGCTTTGCATGTAGTAGCCCTGAAAGGTTTGAATGACTGGCGGCATAAGATTGTGAGAAGGAGCACACATTTGCCTTAATGTGTGAGCTGACTCTAAAAGGCTGAGCTGTGTTTCAGGCTTGAATCTCACCTCAGACAAGTCACTTTCTCTCAGCCTTGGTTCAAGGCTGGGAGGTAATAATACTGGTTTTGCTTGCAGGGTTATTGCACATATGCTAGATTTTCCACAGAGCAGTGTTTTCAACACTTGAAAGCACCATTAAAATGTTATTATTAAGCATTAAATAATACCTTTGCTTTTCTATAAGCAATTTGTGGTATAGTTCCAGCTCTTGTGTGAACTCACAATTAAACCAGCCCTATAATCTTCCTTTCTATAAAAAGAGTGCTTTTTAATTCATCTGCAGAACTGCTGAAAAAATCCTTTGCTCTTCCTTGTCTTCTCCTCACTCTTTTAAGTCAGAAGATTAGTCTTTATTGTTTACCTTAGTATTTTCCTAAATATCAAAATGGCATAAATCAGAAGTAGAGATTGAAATATCGTTCAAATTGGGGCACTGTTAAATGATTTGTGAATCAATGCACAACAACACTTATTGACTCACAGCTGACACCAAAATTACTTACACAAATAATCCATAGCAAACCCTGCTGGTTATCACATTCTTTGCTGATTTTAAAAAATTACTTTATGACACAGAATGTTTTTCGCCACTGGCTGGGTGGAAATGCTTATGTGATTATCTGTGTTCCTGTTTCAGTAAAAAAAGGGCTTCCTTTTAATTTTAGTAGATTGATAGCAGATACCATCCTGGTAGATCATAGCCCTCTTTAGTTATTTATTAAACCTTGATATTGAATGAGTGAGGGGGCTTGTGAGAGTTCACCTACTCGTCAGGTGGCCTCATCTGGTATTTGCTGGATAGATAATCACCCCAGTCTGGAAAAGTCCCTTCCGGTCAGCCAATTACAGACAGCATGTGAGATTGTAAATAAAATTCCAACGAGAATATCAGTACTAGTCTGAAGGAGTCTGAACGTTAGCCATTAAGGGATGGAGCAATTTGGCTTGCTTTCAAATGCTTCTTCATAGGTTTGATACTGAAGATAAGATTTTTTTTGTTTCAGTTTTTTGTACCTCACAAGCGTGCAGCAGCTACAGATACAATGGCAGGAAACAGGGAATCAGCCTGTGCTGGATTGGGATTAACTAGCAGTGAAAATCAGGTTCCCAATTTAGGTGTATTCCTGGATTTATTGCTAATTCTGGTTTTCTGTGACACTGCAGTAGCCGGAAGTACATTTGCACAGTTAAGTGCACCAGCTGCACCCATTCTTGGAAATGTCTTACCCAGCCACATACCTTAGTTGCATCTCATTTGGATTCATATAATGTGCCTTACATGGGGCACCCTTTGGGGAGTATGTGTAAAATTCAGTAAGTCCAAAATGCTGCAGTCAGATCAGAGCAGGTCACAAGGAGACGAGAAATTTCATGTTATGTGCTACCAGTCCATTTTGGAGCATAATTCATAGTGCTGTTTGTGACCTATAAAGCCTTGAATGATTTGGGTCTGTCTGGAGGGCTGTTCCTCCCTTTATGAGTCAGCGGAGCTTTTGAGACCTTATAAGGAGTCCTTTTTTTTCAGTCCCACCATCCTCATAGACCCATCTAGTGAAGGTGTTGGAAAAGGCATGGTGAGGACAGGAGAGAGCAGTCACAGTGGCTGCTCCCAAGCTGTGGGTTCTTCTGCAAAGGGAGACCAGGCTGCTTGGTAGAATCTTCTACAAGCAGGCAAAAGTTTCTCCCAAGTCTTTGGCTTCCAAGGAAGGGGTTTTAATCGGAGCATGTGATCTTTGTAAACTTTTTAGTGTTCTTTTTAAGAGTTTTAAATTACTTCATTCAGTTCTTTTAGTATGTGCTATTGCTTTTTAATGTAGTTTATTGTACTTTCACTATGTTTGTCTTTTAAACAATTTTTAAAGCCACGTTGAACCCCTTTTTTAATGTAGTTTATTGTACTTTCACTACATTTTTCTTTTAAACAGTTTTTAAAGCCACGTTGAGCCCCTTTATTGGGAGAAAGGCAGGAGGTAAATAAAATCAATCAATCAATGATGGCAAACGTCATTACTTTCAATAATTTCATGCAACCATCAGTTTACCTGGGAGTTGGTCCCGCTGAATTAAACTAGACTTAAAGTCTAAGTAAATATATTTATTTATTTATTTGTTCGATTTATATCCCGCCCATCTGGTATATTCTACCACTCTGGGCAGTTTACAGAATATCAAAAACAATTTAAAAAAACATAAAAAAATTAGCATACAACAATAACAAATAGTGCAGGAATAAATAAATAATAAATAGCAAAGCAAAGAAATCAGTAGTTGACGGGGGGAAGGCCTGGATGTACATCCATGTTTTCAGTTGGCATTTGAAAGTACCCAGCGTTGGGGCCTCGCGAATTTCCGGAGGAAGATTGTTTCAAAGGCGAGGAGCCACTGCCGAGAAGGCCCAATTTTGAGTCCTTTCCTTCCGGGCCTCCCTCGGTGCCAGGCTCCTCAGCCTCACCTCCTGACTCATGTGGGTGATCCGCATAGATCTTGGTGGGAGCACCTTGTTGTCAGTGTTCCTGCTCAGAACTTTGTTTTAAAATACTTCCCACCACCTGGCAGTGCATAATAAATCCAAAGGATTTGAGGGTTGATGTTTTTAGCAGGATTGTCAGTCTCACTGCCAGTTTCTGTCAAACCCCTTCTATGTATTACAGTTCTGTTCAGTTTCCTGTTCTATGTTCAAGTCCTCATTTACATATTTGCATGTCCTAAGCTCTTGATTTATCTCTGACTAGATGAAACCCATCTATGCTACTTGCTTTACATTTCTACTGTACTCCTGAAACACTGGCCTGATAGTAGATCATATGAATAGACTGGGATGTAATTTTCAATAAACTTGCATAGGATAGTTTTGTTAGTGATACATTTGGGGGCCTGATATATTTTTAAAGCAGTGGCTTTCACTCGGAGAGATATGTCTTTTAAAGGAGTTGACAGTTTGCACACTTAGAATCCTGCTGGGTTGAACAGAGAACTGTGAGGTTCTGCAGGTTTTAAAATATCTATATATCTCCCATATGGTGTTGCAGAGAGAAAAGCATAATGATTATGCTAGTGTAAAATGACTGCAGTGAAAACCAAGGCAAAGATTTGCATCTTTCTTATCAAGATGTAGGCACCATTTCACAATAATTTGCCTGCCATTGTTATTCATAATTGATTTTAGTTTTAGAGATTTTCTTCTTTCATTTTTTATTCATATCAGAGCATTGCACAATTTTTAATTATGGACACATATGAAATATAGGTAAAATTAAAGACAAATTAAAACTTTAAGATAATTAGACTATTTTTGACCAGAAATGGGCTACTTCAACAGTGTTGTCTTGGTTATTTACTAAATGTCCATGTGGTAATTGACCAGAAGTGGGCTACTTCAACAGTGTCGTCTTGGTTATTTACTAAATGTTCATGTGGTAGGGCATGAATTGCATGCATGTAAGTGCTGTATTGATTGAATTTCTCCACAGTCACAGAAAATATGTCCTGTGCCCAAGTAGCCCCATTTTATTTGTTTATTTGAAAGCTATTATTAGATTGTATACTTGCTGAAAGCTGCCTTTGGAGGGCTTTTACTTAAAAGATAGTCTACAAACTAGTATGAATACAACCAAGTTATTGAATAGAGTAGAATGTGAAACAGACTCTGTTCCATTAATATATATAGCAGAGATGAGGGATGTATATGCTTCCAGCTGTTATTGGACTACAATTCCTATTGCCCATTGCCATTGGACGTGCTAGTTAGGATTGGTGGTAGTTGCAATTCAACATCTAGACTGTCAAATGTTTCTCATCACTAGTCTACAGGAAGGAAATGTTGGTGTTTTGTGAATCACATGATTCATTCCCACTTTAGTCATCATGCAACCTACATGGACAGATTTTGGAGGAGAGAAAAGTACAGTATCTCTTTTAACTGATAAATTAATCTACACCATACAGTTAAATCAGTTTCATACCATCTTAACTATCATTGTTTGCCTCCTAAGGGGTTCTGGAATTTGCTCTTGGTAAAGAGAATTAAATCATGATTAAATCATGTGACAATCCTAGGAATTTTGAAAATTTTAAAGAGAAACATTGAAAGAGGGTAATTCTCAGATTGCTCCTGGGGAAAAAAAACGCTGAAAGCAGATTATTCAGAGAATGGGTCAGTAAAGCAATGTTTGGTTCCAGGGTAAGATCCTAATGCAGGGACGGACAAAAGGAATTTCTCCCAGCATTGTAGTAATGCAGCCAATGCCACTTTCTGTCCTTGCAGTCTCCTGTGTGAAATCACTTGACTGACTCCCTAATTGCATGTCCTGTTTATGCTTCTTGCAGGCATTGTGTCTCTGATTTCACTGGCCATTCTGTCTTATGAACGCTACAGTACTCTTACTCTCACCAATAAACATGGCTCCAGCTACCAGAAGGCTCTACTAGGAGTTGGTGGCTCCTGGTTATATTCTCTGATTTGGACAGTGCCACCTCTTATTGGCTGGAGCAGCTATGGGCTCGAGGGAGCAGGCACCAGCTGTTCGGTCCGATGGACCTCCGAAACACCAGAGTCGGTCTCCTATATCATCTGTCTCTTCATATTCTGCTTAGCCCTTCCAGTAATGGTCATGATATACTGCTATGCACGCCTTTTCTACGCTGTCAAACAGGTAAGAGCACCATTGGCTTTTTCTGCTATCCATCGGAAAGACTGTGTTTCAGACAACTTGTCCTCTGCTGACAGAAAGGCTAATTTTTGTTCCTTTTTTCTTACGATTCTATGCATACCTTATTTGAATCTGAACTCCACCACATCTTGTGGTTGCTTCTTTTATATCAGCCATCCTGCAGTTCTAAGATAATGATGATAAAACTTCCAAATGTTGGACTATATTTCCCATGGTTCTTGACCATGTAGCATTTCTGGTGGGGGCTGCTGGGAGTTACAGTCCATCCAGAAGGCCACAGGTCCCTGTTTCATTTATTTATTTCACCAATATCTGTATTATTTTTATAATTGAGAACAGAATAGTTTCCATATAGTACTTAGTCAGTCTCCAATCCTGAAAGCTTACAGGCAGACCTGTTTAGTTTCAGCATAACCATATCATACAGTGCTTTGTCTTATAAATATTAGACATATACATACATTTTAAGAACAAACCCCCCATGATACAAACCAAGAGCTCTCAGCTTCAATCTATAGAGTGAATGGGATCATTTGGCATTTAATTCATTTGCACATTTTGAACATTTTTGAGTTGAATGACCACTAAGAACCTACTAAACTTTTCATATTTTTAAAAAATGTTGAAACTGACAATAGGGAAGATATTTACATGCACACAAAAAAAGTCATGGAAGTTGCCTGGCACCTTGTCAGTTACCTGAAACTGATCACTGTGACATCTGCCATTCCTCTTGTGGACAAATAATTGAAACTGACAATAGGGAAGATATTTACATACACACAAAAAGAGTCATGGAAATTGCCTGGCACCTTGTCAGTTACCTGCAACTGATCACTGTGACGTCTTGTGGACAAATAAATATTCAGTGGGATTTTACCCACTATGTTATTGTGTGAAACTGACAATAGGGAAGATATTTACATACACACAAAAAGAGTCATGGAAATTGCCTGGCACCTTGTCAGTTACCTGCAACTGATCACTGTGACGTCTTGTGGACAAATAAATATTCAGTGGGATTTTACCCACTATGTTATTGTGTTTTTTTTCACACTGTGACATCTGCCATTCCTCTTGTGGACAAATAATTCTTGGCCGCCTAGAGTAGTCCATTGGACTAGATAGGCGGGATATAAATTAAATAAATAAATAAATAAATAAATAAATATCAAGTGGGATTTTACCCATTATGTTATTGTGGTTTTTTTCATGCATTAATACCAATCATGTTTGAAGGCATCATGACATGTCATAATCTGCCCCCCACATCACTGTACTTTATAAAGTGTAACTGAAGTTTCTATTGTGCTTTCTACTGTACCCGTTCCAGCATTTGTCTTGTCATGTATAGTAGCCAAGATGGAGGCAATATCTTAATCAAACACTGATTTCATGTTCCTTGTTTAAGAGGCAATAGGCTTTTGTGACTCTCAAATGCTTGACATCTATAGCATTCCCCGTTACTATATGGATGTGAAAGCTGGACTATAAAGAAAGCTGGAAAGGGGGGAAAAAAACCCTGATTCATTTGAAACGTGGCGTTGGAGGAGATTGGCATTGGTTCAGACTTCACAGCACAGAGATGAACCCAGAGCAGTTTTTAATCAAAGTACTTGTGTCTCAGACCTCTTTGACAATAAGAGAGACAAATACCGTAAGTGCTTTCTATATGTTAAAGTGAGGTTTCATCCTGAAGGGAGTGGGCGAATCACATTTTTCTTTGCTCCTATAAGGTGTCTCTCCTACTGGGAAATGAGGGGTTATCATAGTGGTCCATCCTATTCTCTCTTGTAAAGTTATTCTTTTATCATCATATTAAGCCTTTGTTTAGTATACACTAATTCTGTTTTCAGAAATGGTTATAGTTTCTGGAAGAATCTTGAATGTGTGTGATGAGGGCTCAATAAATCAGTAGATGTCAAACCATCTCTCATATCTTGATTATGACTGGACTATGGAAATCCATGGAAATCTCCTATTATTAAGGAAATTATTTAAAAAAGAATGCCCTATGCCTTTTATGACGTGTATGAACTGGCTTGACCATGAAGCAGTTCAAGGCACAAGTCACTCTTGTTTCACAAACATACATGTGTAACAACAGCTGAAATCCAGTAGTAAATTGCAACTAGAGCAGGCTCATTGAATCACTGGGGATTCAGTGAGCCACCTCTTTCATAAGTTCCATTTACTTCTCAGTACCGCACACATTGTGAACACTTGTTTGGATATAGGACAATGAAGGATGAATGAACCAGCAGGTTCTGTGAAAGGCTCTTGAATTGACTTAGTTCTCTCTCTCTCTTTCTCTCTGTCTCTCAGACATGGCCACAGCCACAGAATCACCGAGTGAAATGTTATGAACTAGATCAATATAGAGTGTTAAGATTTTCAAATTTCACTCCCTCTTTAGTCTTTCAGATCCCCTAAACCTGTTCTGAAGGGTTGGGGAATCCTCCTGGAGAGTGTGTGATATGATGTTGTGGGCTACAATGGAAGAAGGAATGGCCTAGCCTTTCTCCAGTGTGGAAACTACAACTCCCAGAACACCCCAACCAGCAAAGCTGTCGTGATGGGCGAGGAGTTCTGGGAGTTACAAAATGGCTATCAGGCTGGCCGCCACGTTAGCCATGGAATTCTAGGAGTCAGAGTAAGAAATTGTTATGTTTCCAAGCTCTGTCCACTCCTTTAGTAAGAAGGTCCTGCTGAATCCTGATTTTTTTTTTTTGAATAGAGATTGATTCTGTTAGGTGGAACAAGAACTCTTGATCTAACCTAAGTATTTGCTAATCATGATCATTTTTTGCTTTTCTGAGACTTGAGTAAGTTTCAGCTTATCTTTTTTCATCAAGGGATACTGAAGTTCTTCTGGGTGTTAATTTATGAACCAATGGGAAATCAAGATTAAGAAATTAGCTGCAAAAATTACTTCTGGGATGGTGTAGAATGTGACTGAGAAAATATATCAATAAAGTAATCCATATCATTTGGAATACTTAAGATTATTAAATGTTCAGCTAAATAGATTCTTACTGTAGTAACTCAGGAATTATTAATACAGCATGAGTGAAGCAGCAGCCACAGAAACTCAGAGAGATTATATGAGTATGTTGTTGTCAATGAAAGGAGATCGATCTAACAAAAGTTTTTGGTCCCTGATGGCCTTCAATTTGCATTTGCTATTTCCTTTCCATGAATGAAAGAAGTGTACAAAAAATTAGTAACACCTGACCCTCATCTATAAAACCCATACCTCTGTTGCTTGATTACTGGCCAAGATATTAGATCCTGGATTGCTTTATACAGTACTAGCTAATTTTTGTATTTAGCAATCCTGTTCATGTTCTTGTCCTTTGAAAATTCTGCAATATAAGAAATATATTTTAGATACTTATAAACTGAGATTTTAAAAAATACATTTAATTTAATAGATTATAATTTTTGAAAAATCTTGTTGCTTTTAAAGTGAATACCACTGGATTTAAGAGCCAAGCTTATAACATACATTAGGCTTTCCCTTTGTTTTTAAGAAGTTTTGAATGCTGCCAAAGGGATGCCCTAACAACCATAAATAGACACTGACACTCAAAATGGGCCAGTGTATATTCACTACATCAAATCATGGGCCAAACTGTAGTGTCGAATGGGAATGGGACAGCATGCTTAAAAGCTGAGGAGAGACAGGAGGTTTTAGGCGAACTGAAGGTGGTTAGCCATTACAGTCAGGCAATAAAATAAAATAAAATAAAATAAATAAAATAAGTTTTGGTGCAACAAATGTGAAGACAGTGATGAGCAGATGATTTAGAGGGACTTAAGAATGTGAGGGTTGTGGAAACATCTGGGGTTTCCCTGGGCAATTGGCAACACCCTGTCAGCTGATTCTTCCACTCTAGAAGCAACACTGGATCACTACTGGCATGAATGAATAAGAAAACAAAGGTGTGAAGATGATACATGAATTGTGAACAGTGGTTTTTATTTCAATCAAGGGAGGATCTCCTTAGCTCCCACCAGAGCTGTAGTGCAGGACTGATGTCTTTTAGGCTGCAGTTTCTTGTGTGCTTATCTGAGAATATTTCTCACCACATTGAATGGATCTGACTTTGGAGTAGAAACGTATAAGACTGACTGTGAAATCATTCTGACTTCAGTTACATACATACATATCACATTATTCCTCCTTTGTTGTTGTTTAATACTATAGAATTGGTGTTTTAAGAATAGGACTATAATGCTATTTCTTGATTGTGTAATGATTTTTGAATTCAGTAGTGGCTTTTCTCTTTGCACAAACATGCATGAGGTCAGAGTTATTAAATTTCAAGGAACATGATTATTTGAGGGAGGCTGGCAGCTCATGTGAACATTTTGTTTATGTCCAACAAAAGTAATGTTTCCAGATCATAATTCTGTGCGCTTTCCAGGGTGCTGAATCTGACACTCATACAGACTGCGTGCCAGATTGTTAACCAGTAGGCTTAATTATTTGCTTCCAGAATCGACATCTAGCAGTCTGTTTGTTTATATAAATGTTTCTCAACTTTTATAAATAGATCAGTCAAACAAATATATATTTGTTTGACTGATCTATTTATAAAAGTTGAGATACATTTACATATATATATATAGTGCTGAAGATACATTCAACTTATAAAAGCTGAGATACATAATATCTGCTTTTATAACTTTATGTTCAGAAAGTTATAAAAGCAGATATTGTCTGGAGTGCTCTTCAACACACTAAATGCAGATGGAAAGGTTTCATTTTGTACTTACGTTTTATTGAGACAGAAGTCTCCTCAATTTCTGTGACATTTTTCTTCAGTTGAAGCCCTAGGGAGGACCAATCTTGGTAAGGTGCAAAACATTTGGGCCAACAAGGCTTGGCCTTTGCATGAGAATTTTAAAAGTTAAAATTATGAGTAACGTTAAAAGAAGCAATATTGGATTCCAGGAGCTAACGCTTAAAGGATTCC